GCACAGGGAACTATATTCAATATCTTATAATAACCTATAATGGAAAAGAATCTGAAAAAGAATATATATATATAACTGAATCACTTTGCTGTACACCTGAAACTAACACAACATTGTAAATCAACTAGACCTCAATTTAAAAAAAGATGTGTGTGTGTGTGTGTGTGTGTGTGTGTGCGCATCTGTGCATGCGTGTAGATTCCAAGAGGAACTTGTATAGTCAGGAAGCTTTGCTGGAATGGGTCTCAGGACTTGCTGGCTGACTCCATTTTCCACCCAAACATCTGAGTCAGCCCTAGTTAAGCCTCATTCATTCAGCAAATAATTTTTGCCCAACAGAGAACACAAATATGACTAACCATTGCTTTGGCCTCAAAGACTCTTGTTAAGCAGCCAGGGAACCAGCAAGGTGGACGTGTTACACTGTGTCGGGGAGAGGGGTGCAGTGGGCACAGAGGAAAGGGTGAATGATTTTCCCTGATGAAGGAGGAGGGGGCTGGTAGAGAGATGGTCTAGAAAGGAGGTGACCGCTTTTGTCTTTTCCAAATTTGCATTCCCTTGATTATTAAGGCTCCTTCCCTGCTCCACATTCTAAAGAAAGACGCTAGCTCTTGCCATCTGTCAAGTTGGAGCCTCCCAACTGGGGACGTGACGTTATCCCCAAGCTAAGTGTGTCGGGGTGGGGGGATTGCACAGCTGAGAACCGCAAGCCGAGCCCGGTCTCACTGCCTTGCTGGGGCCTGTTCCCCACGAGGAGGGCTCAGCAGGCTCTCATTAACCTTCTCCCGAGTGAGCCGGGAAACTGGGCAGCCAACAGCTTAGGGTTACCACAGGGCAGTGAAACAGCAACCGGCTGTGCTCCCCAAACAAAGCTCCCGGCTAAGTGTAAACAGCAGGTGGGGGCCCCTTTCAGTGAGAGAGGGCTCATTTCAGTGGAACGAGGCCTCTCGGGGTCAAGAAGAATATGGAAAAGTGGTTTATGGGTGGGTCTCTCCATTTCCATGCAACCCACCCAAGGGCAGGCCTGACAGGTATCCCGCAGCCACCTTTAGGAGCTTCCGAGTCCTCGGGGCGGTGGTTCTTCAATTTCCCCCGAGTCAGCGTCACCTGGAGCTCCATTCCAGGGTCCTATTCGTAGGTCTGTGGTGGGACTCGAGAATTTGTGTTTCCGGCAAGTTCCCAGGTGAGACCACGTTTGACCACCGCTGTCCCAGGGCATGACTGATCCCCGTGCCTTGCAGATCACGATCTGAGATTTAGTGCAATCCTGCACGCAAAGATACAGGCCCCTGGTAGAGATACACGATGCACTCTTGCCAGGGACATTATAGGAGAAGGAAAAGATTATGAGATGATTGCTGTTAGACCAGATACGATAAGAAAAGGAGGTTTGATTAAAGATCACTTTTGTCTCACTTGACTGGGTGGGTGGGTGACAGGTTTCTCAGTACAAGTTCTTTATCCCATTAAAGTTTATCATTTGTTAAATTGTTGTTTTAACTTTTTAAAAATCAAGAATGCTGGGACTTCCCTGGTGGGCCAGTGGGTAAGACTCCACGCTCCCAAAACAGGGGGCACAGGTTTGATCCCTATTAGGGGATCAAAGATCCTGCGTGCCACACAGCTCGGTCAAATAAATAAATTAAAAAAAAAAAGAAGAAGAATGCTAACGTCTTCCCAGAAGTCTGTTGGGTTTGGGACATACACTCTTTTACACCAGGATCACAAGCCCACTCAAGTTCACTAAGGAGGACCCAGAGCTACCCCTTCAGACCTCCAGGAAACGGTGCCCCGCTGCGTGGCATGAGGGAATCTGAGAGCTTTTGCCTTCTGCACAGCAGTGGAGTTCTTTGTCTCCACATCTCTCTGCCAGCGATCTGTCTAGGCTCCCTGGGGCTGTTTGCTCTAGTACTTTTTCCGTCTGTGGGTCTGGTCTCCTGCAGTGATGGCCTGGACCGCTGACCACACCTGCCTTTGCAGCTCTGCTCCCCACATCTATCCGACACAGCCGCTGTGTCCCTGAGCTCCCAGGAGAGAAAATCTGGTTGACCTGGGCCTGTGTGTCTGGGTGTCTGCCCCTGGTCCTGTGAGGGCGGCTGCCAGCTCCCGGGGTCAAGGGTCGCACACTCATCCTGAAAGGAGAGTGTGGGCAGCGAGGCTGAGATGGACGCTGTCAGCTTGGGGACCCTACCTCCACAGGACTCTGTGTGTAAAGCACGCAGGCACTCAGTAACTAAGGTAAGTTTCCTCTCTTCTTCATTTCTTCTGCAAATTCGCCAATTCGTAGGGGTTTAGAGAACCAGGTAGAGGATTCTGGTTAACCGCCTGTGGAGGATGGCAGGGATAGGATGGTTTTCTGAGCCCTGATCTGCCCCCTTAAAGCCACACAACTCGTGTCACCTCAGGGCTCGGGCACATCCTCAGCCCGGCTCCATGGAAGCAGGTCTGTCAGCTCAGGACACCAAGGGAGTCACACAGCTCTTCACACTCCAGAGAAGTGTGACCATTTGTCAATTTTTTTTTTTTTTGCAAAAAAGGTGACAAAAATTATGAATGTGTAAAATTATACCTTGATCTCAAGGGTCTAAACCATATCCTTAACTGTAATCCAAATGCTTGACTGAAGGTGTGGATTTCATAGCATGTGTGTTATTTTGGGCCAGTTTATGGGAGAAAAAAAAAAAAAAAACTTTTGTAAGCCCCGACAAACAGAGACAATGGCTTATAAAAGTCAGCATGAGGCGTTTGGGTAGGTTCTCTAGGGGAGGATTCCTTTCCTTTCTTCCCCTCTGCTCCCCTCCCCTCCTTCCTTTCTTTTGTTTGTTCGTTTTTGAATTTAAATTTTGTCAATATTTCGAGGACTTTCTGTCAACAGAGGTTGTGTTTTTATTGGTAGAGTTTTGACCTATCACAACTTGACACTGTTGTGTCAGGCGGGGACCCCGTGCTACAGTCAAAGGTCAGGAGGACACTCACGTCCTAATACCTGTGCTCGCAGCCCCTCCCTGGGGGTCCGCGGGTAGACAGGAGTAAACTATTACTGGCCACGTGTCAAATCAACCATTAGCTAACCAGGCACCATAAGAACATAGGGAAATTATCTCCTTTGGGAATTCTGACTATTGTTTTTAAGCTTTTTTTTTGGCCACACTGTGCAGCAGGCAGGATCCTAGTTCCCTGACCATGGATCGAACCCGTGCCCCCTGCATTGGGAGCGTGGAGTCCTAGCCACTGGACTGCCAGGGTATTCCCTGTTTTTAAGCATTTTCATGCTGGGAGGAAAGAAAATCCTGAAGATATATGTCACTGTGTTTATACTTAAAAGAGTGTCTCTTGAATTTACACCACTGATTCCTAGAAGAATTTAGCAAAGGAAAAGGCAAAGTGAAAAGTTCTAACTAGAAAAGTAGCATTTTCTCTTTTGGATTTTTCAAACCATTTGAACAAATTATGGAAAATAACATCTTGTCCACCAGCTATAATGAACATTCGTGCACTGTGGTGACGTCTCTTCCACACTTCTCTTCTTGTATATTTTAGAAAGAAAAGCTTTTATCCAGTATTATTTCCCTTCGTGTTTTGTTTTCCTGCTTTGAACTGGCATCTGAAGAGGCCACAGAGCCTTCTTAATTTGAAAATATTCTTGTCTTTGGGACTATGGGGTCGTGATTCTTAATGTGCATCCGAATCACCCAGAGGGTTTGTTTCAATACAGATCGCTGAGGTCCAAACCAAGAGTTTCTTTCTTTTTGGCGGTAAGCGGGCCTCTCACTGTTGTGGCCTCTCCCGTTGCGGAGCACAAGCTCCGGACGCGCAGGCTCAGCGGCCATGGCTCACGGGCCCAGCCGCTCCACGGCATGTGGGATCTTCCCGGACCGGGGCACAAACCCGCGTCCCCTGCATCGGCAGGCGGACTCTCAACCACTGCGCCACCAGGGAAGCCCCAAACCGAGAGTTTCTGATTCAGCAGGACTGGGGAGAATCTGCATTTCCAGCAAGATCTCCGGTGATGCTGTGGCTGCTGGTCCAGGGGCCATACTTTGAGAACTGCTGGTCTAGAGAAAACAGGCAGCCGCTGAGCAGCTTTCCCTGCCCGACTCCTGCCTACCTGCCTGGGCCCCCTGTCCCACCTTGTGGGACTTTGCACAGGGGTGGGGGGAGGGCTCCGGAGAGGAGGAACAAGGGCCTCAAATCTGACATCTTCAAAAGGGGAAAAAAACCTTTTACGTAAATCCACCTTTCAGTAGTTTACAAACACTCTCATTAAATTATAGAAAAAAATTAAAAAGATTTTGTACATCATATTTAGAGATGAAAGTACACAAATCACATGAAACAGAGTTTTAGCCATTCATCAGCCTCACCGGATCGCCTTACCTCTGTGCAATTTCCTTTCCACCACACCTTGCTAGCTCCCATTTCAAGTTCAGCCTCACAGTAGAAAGTCTTTTCTAAGCACTGAGAAGTTCCTGAAGGAAAAGGGGAGCAATAGCTATAACATTCCACTGACGTTTTGGCAAGCAAACTCCAGGTGAGAATTTCAAGAGACAATGAAAAGCACAGGCTTGGCCTCCAGAATTCAAATACTTTTTGTAAATTTCCCCATCCCGCCTATAAAGGGAATGTGGCAATTTTGCAAATGAAGGTCTAAAAAAGTACCTTAAGTTAAACCTTCTCTTAACCATAGGAAGCTTAGTCAACTGCTGATTTAAGGAAACATGTCACATTTTATATCAGCTGGAGAAACTGACAACATGCATGTTTTTCACTTAGAAGCGCAAAACTTTAGCCCTGTTTTCTCAACCTTATTAAAGTTGCGAACTTTATCACTAACACCTGGGTTAAAACCGTAACTACCCAAAGATGAGACAATTAATTAACCAGTGAAAACAGCAGTACAAACTTCTTTAGCTCAGAAATGGGAGACGGAACAGTGTGAGGGAGGGCCTCGTTTTTCACCATGGATTACACACGTACAGAACAAAAGTTAGTCGAGGGACACATAAGTCAAAATGCTTTTATCTAGTTGGATTATACAAAAATCAATAAATAAACTTCATAATTTATTTTTAATAAAAATAGAGAAGAAAAAGTTCGCCTACTGCCCTGGGAAGGTCAGCTCCTGGGCGTGGGCCCCTGGCTCTCTGCTTCCCAGAGCATCACCTGGTTAGGAGCTCCTACAACGCAGGTTAAAATCGTTGATTCCATCATTGTTCTCCTGGGTAAAAGACACACACACAGCCTCTCTTTAGACGAGCAAGAGGTGTCTTTTCCCTGGAATCTGGACTGTCCTGCGGGGAGCACCCTACCTTGGAACTGCCCTTAGCCTTGCAGCCGGCCGTGCTCGGAACTGGGAACGCCAGGCGGGGAGGACGCGGCAGTTCTGGGTCCAGGCCCGGCGGGTCACCCTAGACGGCAGGGGACAGACAGGCCGACAGCCAGTGAAGACGGAGGAGCCACCTGGAGGGCGCGTGGCCCTCCCCACTGGGCCCACCTCCCCCGCGGGCACTCAGGCAGCCTGGGAGTCTGTGGTCCCCCGTCTGAAATCAGAGCACACACCGTGCCCATCCCTAGGCTGTGGTAAGAATCAAGTCCTTTCACCAGCCGAAGGGCTTAAAATAGCACCTAGTAGCCAAAGGTGCTGGTTGCTGTTATCACATAAAGGATGGGAGGATGGTAGGGAGGCTGCGACAGAAGGACAATGCGCTGGGCCCCCTCCCCGAGCCCTTGGCCGCACTTTGCATACAGCTGGAGCGCAGCCCCGAGGTCCCTGAGCCAACAGCGACAAAGGGCCCAGAAAGGAGCCGTCACTGCCAAAGCTGCAGAATAAAGACTCAGCCCGCAGACAGCGGCCGCCCGGGCCCCACTGTCCCGGCCCTCACCCCTGTCTTCTCTCTCAATTAGCATAACTAAAGGAGGAACCCAAGGCCTCTGTCCTCAGCTCACCCAGTCTCAAGTCCAATGCTAACCGTCCGCTCCGGGGAACCCGGTGAAAAGGAAGGTGGTCGAAGTTAGAGGCCCAGGGTCTTGCACGGTCACAATACAGAGCATCAGGCTTATTTCTTAATCATTTTCAGAACGAAACCACTTTGCAGCCTCCTTCTTAAGAGATGGGCGTGTTTAGCAGCTTAAACAGGCAGATCCCCACCCCTCAGCCGGGCCCTCAGGACGCCAGGTGTGTGGGGCTGGGCCTCAATTCACCAGCATCATTGGATTAGCTTTCTGTCCTTGGCAAGGTCACCCAGAGCCCAGCTGCAAATGCACATTTGTAATGAGACAGGGTGGGGTCACCCATCTCCACCTGCCAGCGAGACAGCCCAGTTTCCTAGGTGACAGGCGGTGCTATTTTCCTGGGTAAAGTCACAGGGAGGAGAGAGAAGTAAAAGTGAAAATAAAAATGAGCCGGGACACCGGCCTGACCGCCCCCGACTGGTAAAGGCTGACCTCCAGCCGTCACTGCGGACTGTGGGCCTTAATCCTTCTCCCAGTCAATACCATCCACGGCAAGTTCGACTGTTCGCCATTTATTATTCAATTTGCATTCAGAGGCCAAATAAATAAAGCAAGCACAACAGCGCAATTTGCCTTTTCGCAAGTGAGTTACACTTGCTTTCTGTGTAGCAATTAATGCTACATTCTCAAGTTACAATATGACAGTGAAGCTTGTAAGAGTGTAGACTTCTGTCTCTGAAGGAAACAGAAATCACATTTCTTCAAGAACTTTGCAGGGGTGTGGTTTACATGTATCTGTGTATCCATCCATGTACCTACAGAAATGCCCCAGCTCTGTACAGTCACACTGCATTGCTTTTCTTCCTCCTTTCCTTCCTCCCTCCCTCTCCGTTCTCCCCTCCCTGCTTTCTGTCTGTCCAGAAACATTTATTATCAGGGTACATTCACTGAATGTTTGCTCTGGGTCAGAGACATTTACAAAGGTTGAAACCTCCCAGGCTCTCAAGTACTTTACAATCTAGTTGCAGGGGACAGACTCAAGAAGTAATTATAACTCAAATACGGAGCAGCCTACACTAGCCTGTGGAGTCAAGAAAGTCACCTTAATATTCACAGTCAGTTCCTGTTCTTGTTCTTGCCCTGTGGCTGACAGCTAAAGCAGGATGGGCAAATAAAGGACCAAATAAATGAATGAAAACATAAATACTGTCCAATCAGGTACATCTAGATAGACGTGTGGATATGTTCCTGAAAATCGGTTCAATTCATTTTAGGTCACGTTGGCAAAGCAAGGAAATTACCATCATTTGGTGATGACCCTGATTAATCAACTTTGTTTGGTCTGGATTTTCACGTATGGATTTTCCTCCAGTTCACAGGTCTCAAAACATCCAAGAGAACCACCTAGGAAGCCACGTAGAATCCGAGACACCTGCAGCCAGGTCAGGGGCCCACCTGAGTGGCCACAGTCCCCGCCGGGCTGTGCGTGCTCCATTCCCATCGGGCATTCAGTGGAAAGCTGTTTACTTTTTTCAACGCTTCTCTTTCCAGAAGCTGGTCCTGACTGGGCCTGCAGGCAGGTCAGGGTCTGTGAGCAGGGAGCTCACCTGCCTCCAATTCCGGAGCTGATGGGAATGTACCCAGCATTTTGTAAAAGTCCACCAATAGCACACTTGGTGAGTCCATTTGCATGAAGTTCAAAAACCGCAGAGCTGGTCTGCGGTGGCAGAAGCCAGGGGAGGAAAGAGCCATCCAAAGTGGAGCGTGAGAAAGGCTTTAACAGAAGAGTTAAGCACTGAAACCAGCCTACGGGTGAGAAGTCATTGCCTGCGATGAAGGAAGGAGGGAACCAGGGTCGAGGATGTTCATCTGAGCCGGGCTCAAGGAGGGTGCAAGCTTCCGGCAGCAGGAGCAGGGAGGAGCCTGGGCTTCTGTCACCACTCAGCCCCCGAAGTCCATGAACCATTCTGCGGGTCCTCCTCTGTGATGGGGGCTAGGACATCTACCCAGGGGCCATCCACCCATGCCTGGCTCCCAGGGATATGCCCTTTTTTCAGCCCCAAATGGGGGAAATGTGAACACTCCCAGCCAGTGTTTGTCTCAGGCAGGACCCTGCATATCTGCTCTTATCCTCCTGACAATCTCACATTATAGAGGAGAGGAAATCGAAGGTTCAGGGAATCGGGTGAAATTTGCAAATTCATAGTTCCTAAGCGGCAGACTAAAAACTACAACCAAGATCTGTCGGAGTCCAGGGCCTTTTCCTAATTACAGTCGGTGGACGTGATGGGCTGTGCTGGCTTTGCCCGTGCCCTGGGCAGACGAGGTGCGTCACCACCGGCCACCCCGTCTCCAGCTGCCCCTGTTTCCCTCTGCAGCCTGGGAGGAAATTGAGTTTCAGTTTGAGGCTTGTTATTCATCTCAGCATCATTAGCAGGAAAGTCACATGAAGCAAAGAGTAAAGCCTTTCTGCTTCCTGATCTGTTAGTGCCCAGACAACTGTCGATCAATAGGGATTTTATCTTAAGGTCAGACCGTCAGCTTCTGCTGCTGGGGCCACACAGGACAGCCAGTCGCCGGCTCAGGCGGCCTCCCTTCCCCGCTGCCCTGCTCCCCAGCTGCCTCTGGAGTGTCTCCCGGTGACCAGCGCCTGTGAGCTTCTGTTTCAAAGTGGTTTATACATGATCCATCCGTGTCGTGTTCAAGCTGGTTGCTAAGCAGCATTCCAGACAGACACTGCGCAGACCCCCCCCAGGAAGCCTTCCCTAGGAAGAACTACTATGGTTTAAGGATGGCAAGATGTTAAAATTAAATCTGCCCTTGCAAATGAGGTACAAAATCTGTCCGGTTTTCCCCTCCCATTTCTTAGAGCTCTCCTCTCTCCCCTGCCTTCAGCGTCAGGACCAAGCTGGACCAACATGGCGGCTTTGGACATTCATTCTTTTTTCTTTAAATAAGTTTATTTATTTATTTATGGCTGCGTTGGGTCTTCGTTGCCACGCACAGGCTTTCTCTAGTTGCAGCACGCTGGGCCTACTCTTCGTTGCAGTGCGCAGCCTTCTCATTGCAGTGGCTTCTCTTGTTGTGGAGCACGGCTCTAGGCACGTGGGCTTCAGTAGTTGTGGCTCACGGGCTCTAGAGCGCAGCCTCAGTAGTTGTGGCTTGTGGGCTCTAGAGCGCAGGTTCAGTAGTTGTGGCGCACAGGCTTAGTTGCTCCGCGGCATGTGGGATCTTCCCGGACCAGGGCTTGAACCCGTGTCCCCTGCATTGGCAGGCAGATTCTTAACCACTGCGCCACCAGGGAAGTCCCTGGACATTCATTCTTGACTTCGGAATAAACACACTGAGGACAGAGTGATGACTGATTCCCTGCAGAGAAAATACTCATCACTTTCTGTGGACCCTCCCCAGCTGTAGGCTTCACCCTAAGTAGCTGCTAAGACCAGTGAGCACAGAGCTGGGAGAGCACGCCAGGACTTGGGGGGCACCCAATGGGGTTGTTTCTGATAATGCTGGGGAGGGCCCCCAGGCTGGGCCAGGGCCCCAGGCCTGAGCTAGCACACCCTCAACTAGCTGACTTGCAGGTTGCTGGTTGTCATGGCAACATGACTCCTCCCCCACCCCACAGGGTGGGGTCCCAAGAGGAGGAAGGCCTGGCAGCTGCTAAGCTTGCTTGGGGTCAGGGTAGAGGGTATGGTGGGCCCAGCAGTTCCAAAGGACCTTCGAGCATCTGTAAGACTTACAGCATTTTTCTTCCTAATGAAGGGAAAAATCATAAAGTAGTGAGGATGAAAAATATTGCACAAATGGTGAAGAAAAGGAAAGCCAACAGGAAAACCTGAAAGGGACCAGGTGCCAGGCATTAAAAGCGAAGACCTGGGATAGTGAGAAAATCTCGGGGGCACAATTTAAATTCCTGCCCAAGGAGAAAAGGCAAAAGAAAAAAGGAACCTGGATCTTTTGGGCCAAAGGCCAAAGGAAATGAGAGTCCGAGGCAGCTCCCTCTGCCTGCAGCCCGGGGCAGCGTGTGACTGCTGGAGGGGCTGGAAGTGACCTTGGCGATGACAAAGCCAGGTCTGTGATGGAAATGAAAGGGCTGAGGCCACCGGCACCCAGGAGTTCACCAACTGCTTTGTATCAGTGCTGGCGATGGCTGGAGATATTTGCACTGCCTTTAAACTTCAAGTATTGATATTTCTTCCTATGAAATCAGACCTTTCTTGCAATGTGAACATGGCTTTAATTTAAATGAAACTATTTAGTTTCAAATAGTCATCATAAATTATGCCAGGGTCAAAATGCAAAACAAGGGTCAGGCTGGTTTTGAGCAGTTTTGCTTTATTGTCAGGTTAAGGCCAATCTGCAGGAGTTCCTGTCTTTCATCAAATCTGTTCTCCAAGCCCTTATCCACCTGGTGAGAGATAAGGTACTCCAGGGGGCCAGCTGGGTGAGTAATTGGCTGTCACTGTTGAAGTAAGAGGACCCCTGGCCAGGCTGCTGGGCTTGCAGACCAGGCATTAGAGCCTGAGTGGGAAGGTCACCCCTGAGAAAGCCTCCAGCCTTCTTGACTCTCACACAGCCTAACCTGAAAGGCCTAACTCTTGAGTGACAATGGCCGGTAATTATAAATTCATCTGAGTGAACCCATGTTACTGTTTCCCAGACAGTGAGTCGATGCCAGGATTCTGCTTAGTGCCAAGTGGGGCTCATTTTAGAGCAAGTCGTTAGCCAGATATAAAGCTTGCTTGTTTTGCCTATAGATCACGTGGACCACAGTTTGAGGGAATCCCTCATTCTAGAACTTGCTCTCAACACCGTGACTTTCTTTGGAAGATGAGACAAAAAAGTTTTCCAGTAAATCAGAGTCACATATTCCTTGGGTTGCTTTTAACTTACACCCTTGTTTCCTGGAAGTGACCCATACAATGGCGTTGGCACCTGCGGCTTTTTGAACCACAGTCCTGGGAAGGCCAGCTGCCGCCGAGGAAGAGCTTTACCATCTACGATTTTCTCCCTGAGGCTCTGTCTGCTCAAAGACATCGGTTTCTCTGGTATCATGAGTTAGCATTTATAGCTTTATACGAATACTTCAGGAGAGTATCCAGGATATGTAGAGTGTCTACAAATCAGTAAGTAAAAGGCGGACAACTTAATAGAAAAAATGGAAAAAAACCCCCATTAAAACCACAATGAAATAACACAATACACCCATCAAAATGGATAAAATGAAAAAAGATGGGCAATTTCAAGTCGTTGGGCTGTACCTCACAGGCCTACAAACCCTCTGCTTGCCCAGCTTCAAGATCCAAGAAAGAGCCCAGAGTCAGCAAGACAGACGTAAGTGGTTTAATGGATGGGGGAGCTTACACATATGAAGCAGGGTCCTGGAGCGACACCCCACCGTGTGCAGTGGACAGGAGGCGGGACATAGTGGCAGTCTTCACTCCCCCGGGTGGGGGAAGGGGAGATTGCCAGTTACAGGGGAATTGACTTCAGGTGGGCTCATTAGTTACCAGGGAAACCAGCAGAGGGGCACGCCCCTCACCACCCACTTTGATAAGTATAATCACCTGCTGGGGCCTGGGGCAAGTACATAGGGAGGTCAGTCTTGTAAGTAGGGCGTAGGTGAAGCAGGCCCTAGTCGGGCAGGGGATGTCCAGAGAGCAAGAGAACAGCCATCTTGAGTGGCCTGACCATATACAATTGTTAAGAGATTCTATTAATATAATTATTAATAATTATATTTAGTTATTTATTTGATTTGAATAATTATAGTATTTTATTATAAGATAATAGATTGTTATTATTACAGTAATATTAAATGCCAGGAGCTTAATTATAGAGCCACTGGTATTAAAATGGAGCAGGACCCTATGGTTCTTCCCCACCATGTCCTTCGCCTGCCTTCTGCCTGTAGAAAAACTTTAGTCAGAGAATAAGTTTAGGGACTTCCCTGGTGGTCCAGTGGGTAAGACTCTGGCTCCTAATGCAGGGGGCCTGGGTTTGATCCCTGGTCGGGGAACTAGATCCCACATGCATGCTGCAACTACAGATCCTGCATGCTGCAACTAAGACCCGGGCGCAGCCAAATAAATATTAAAAAAAAAAAAGAATAAGTTTAATCAGAGAAGTGGGAAAATGCAGAAGCAAAGGAAAACAGTCCAACAAGACTAAATAATAATAGTTTAGTCATTAAGCACTGTCAAGGACCTTCAGTTCCTTCTCAAGGGCTATAGATAGATAGATTCCGAGCCATCTCCTGTGAGCTGTCCTGTAGATACTGAAACCTCCACCAGGTGGAAGAAGTTAACTACATGATGACCAGACTGTAGCCATGACATAAGCTGCCACAATTCCGAGAACTGGCCTCAAGGACGTGGGAACAAACCAACCCTGGAAATGAAGACTAACTGTACTTAAAACAATCAAGACGACGCTGGTCAGACCACCAATGGCCAATTTCAAGATGACAGTCAGAGCTGACTGTGCTGTTTCTGCATGTAGCCCCCTCCCTCCGACTATACACCCCTGAAACACCCCTCTAAAAGCTCTCGCCCACTGATGTCAGGGGGGGAGTCAGCCTCTGGACAGGAGTCTGCCCTCTCTCTCAGTTGCCGGCCTCCGAAATGAAGCCAACTTTCCTTTCCACCAACCTTGCTCTTTATTGGCTTTTGAGCAGCGAGCAGCCAGACCCCACTTTCGGTAACAGGATACACAGACACTGTAAATTGGTACCAGTCCTGTGGGAAACTTCTTCGTTGGTATCTATGAGTATATAAGCACACCCTATGACCCAGCAATCCTCCCCCTAGGTGTTCCCAACAGGGGTGCACACCTCTGTCCACCACGTGACAGAGCGAGAATGTCCCTATCGGCCCTGTTCTGTGCAACAGAGCAACTCATTTACATACATTACAAACGACTCATTTACATAAAGTTCAACAGCCGGCAGACTAGGCTATGGCGTTAGCAGTTAGGATGGTGCGTCAGAGGCAGCTTCTGAGGTTTGGAGGCTACTCTTTCTTGTCCACGTTGAGAAAAACCTGTCCTCTGTACGACTTATGATTTGTGTCCTTTTCTTTATGTATATCGCCATAAAAATGACTGGAATAGCACAGAACAGAACCAAACCAGAAAATCTCCAGGAGAGCCTGCGGGCTGAGAAGCCCTGTTCCGCCCAGTCCCCGGGACCCCCGCCCCCCTGGAACCCCCCTGGTCACCTGCTGCTGATGCCCTACTTTCTAAGAAACCAGGAGACAATGACCTTTCCTCAGCACCTGCTATTCCTCTCCTCTTTCTCCTGTTCACCCCTCCATGGCCTCTCCAAGCACTCTCTCTGCCTAAACCCAACTGCCAAGGAGAGAAACCAGAGGGAAGTTCACATCCTCTGCTTACACTCTAAACTGAATCATTACCGAACACAATCCTGTAGCCAGAGGAGTCCTGTTTTACGTCCTGCTGGTGTAAGTTAGATCATAACCCTCCAAAGGGATGCCGGCCAAGGGTTACATACTTACAAAATTCACGTTGGCGTCTCTTTTTCTCTTCCTCGGAGAAGATTTTGTACTTCTGGCCTCTTTGCTCCTCACGCTCTGACATTAATGTGTCCTCTTTAAACTCCTTCCCCAGGCTCACGGGGACTGTGCCGCGTGGCGGAAAACCGGTCCCTTGCTTCCCTCCCTTTCAGCCTTCTGTGGACTCCTTACCTGGCAGCACCCACTCCTTTCCTTAACTGGTCCTGTGATATATGCCCACAGCTGTGAGTCCTAATCTCTGAGTGTGGTCCGTGGCTACAATTTAAAAAGTAAACGCCAGGTAGATTTAGTGAATAAAATACATTTTTGTCTTCCTTCAGTGACAGATAAAAAGCAAACAATACATTTTACCAAAAGAATTATCTTTAAAACTCTTATTGTACTCTGTTTACCTCTAAAACATTTTTAGGCTTAAAAAAACTTCAGCGTTTGATTTAGGAAAATTCCCTTGAGTTCAAACCAAATTCATCAGGTCTGTT